TAAGAAACCATAGTTCTGAGAGATTGAGATGTGGGAGATTGACAAAATAGCCGCACCAGGCCCAGGTCGACAAGCTGATTACACTTTGATGATGATTATTATTCACACTGACCTTGGCAAAGCATGCTAAGGTACACAGGAGAAAATAGTTATGTTCCAGAAAACCTGTTTTATTGTCATGAAAACAGATTTGATCAGAAAAAAGGAAATGGGGCAAAAAACATACAGCAGAAGGGATTCGCTGGTGGTCACCCACCCAACTACTAACCTCCCGGCGTGTGGCTTAAGTACGGCTGAGCGGACGGGAAGCCCTGTTTTCCACACCCTGTGGTCGTATGTGCTTGTTTCATAGATAGCCGTGTTATAGCTAGCGCATGAATCCATCTTATTACTTGATTACTTGTAATGTTAACTTATAACTACGAGATTCCCCCTCGTATTTTCAATTGCGGCCAACAACCGCCGAGTTTCCCTTCGTCAAAGTGCGGCCTTACACTATCACGCCGCGAGCGACAGCCAGCCCGGCTGGGGCTACTGCTCAATGGTCAAGGATGGCCACAAGTACAGCATCCCCACTCGCCATTGATATACGTGGCCGACAGGCGAGACCAAGCGCACCCTCGGGTCGGTCGTCAGCGACTTCGGCCCCTTCGTCAAAGACATCCGAGTCAACCAGCGACCCATGCCGCGTGTTAAACCCTGTTCGAGACGTACGCTCATTCTATACTGAGTAAGATCCCAGGTTGGGAAGACAACGACCGCTGGCTAGAAGTGTGGGATAAGTACAGTAACAAAGTCGCCTTCACGCTCGAAACCAACGACACTAGGATGGACGTCATTGAGAAAGACCGTGCCATCACGGCCGAGATTGAAACGAATGGGGTTCTCCAGCCTGAGACGCCCGCCTGGGTCCAAGATATCCCCGACGACATCCAGGGCTGCATTCCTACGAACTTATAGAAAACTTGCCTGCTGACCATGCTGTTGTCGAGGAGTGGCGGAAACGAACCCAGAGGAGGAAGAATACAGCCCGAGGCCCAGATTCTTGGTAGTATTGTGTGTTCACACGGAGTCGGAGTGCATAGTTCGAGGTGCACACATTCCGACTTGCATCTGAAGAAGCAAGCATTGCTCTGTTCTTCTTGTAGGGCATCAGTCACCATACCTGTCTCAGGGTATCACGGGACGACACGACATGCAGTGTAGACCAATCTTGTTTTACCGTACTGTAGCTCAAGGCAGGGGAATTGAATGTTGACAGTGGCCTGACTGACGACTCAATTTCCTGGATTTCGTTCTAGCATAAAATGAGTCAATGGAATCTAGTTTCCGCCGTAGTCTCCCGTTCACGCGATAAAGTAAAAGGACCACGACCAACCCCGGATGCCTAAACCTCTCCTTCATTAGGAATACCTGTCCACCAACCCCGAAGATCCCGATACCAAGACCAGCCTCCCAGCGACCCCCCCAGGGCCAGGCCAGCGATGAACGCCGTCTTGCTCATCTGCGTCTTGAAGCTGAAATCGTACTTCCAGTGCTTTGGTTCTTCTTCCTTACTCTGGGTGTCTTGAGAAGCCGCCTCCTTGTCGCAACGAGCCGAATGGGTCGAAAATGCTGCTAACGCGCGAGACATCATCGTAGCATTTGCGCTGCAAAGGTAGCCATTGTTGTGAAGAGGGGCGCGCATTGGCAGGCGGCGCAGTATTGTAGCCATGACGGTTAGTACGCGGTCTATGCTGTTAAGGTTGGTTAGTGTTGTAAAGAGGGTATGAGGAGATGAACTGAAATCGGTTGCTAACTTTGTCAATCTGGCAATATGCGATCAATGTGAACAAACGCAGATAGACGGTGCGGCTCGTAGTATTTATATATTGGTGAGTTTGACTGGGCGGCCGAGAAACATTCCGCTCTGAGACTGAACGGGAATAGCGGCGGTCGGGTCCGAGCGGACTAGCCCGCAATGACCCTAAAAATAGGTCGAGCCTCCCGGTTTAGGATGACTGACTCGGCTGTTCCAATAAGGTTGTCGATGCTAGTTCGAGATCTACGATGACATTTGCCTACTCGGTTCCACAGGGAGAGTAAGTTATGAGGTATGTGTATGTGCAAATTGCTATTTCCGCGTGCACCTTGGGATTATTATCGGTCTGCATAAATTGGAAAGCGGCCATCGAGCCGATCAGTGTTCAATATGCAATATGGTCACGTGCATTGTATTATGGCATGGTATCATGCCTTGAAATCGCTTTATTATTGGTTACGATGAGCCCTTTCATGAGGATGTAGTAAATATTATTGAGGTTTTATTTCTCTTAGAGGCGGGGTCATGGTGCTTTATCAATCCTTCGATGCGGACAAGATATACTTGGTTTTTAAAGTGCTTGATGGCGATGGCGACAGTAACACCGGGAACGGGATGGCTGTCTCAGTACCAAACTCACTGGCATCACTGGTGCTAATGCTTTGCTACAGATACATCATGTCTCGCGTCATACTTGGACCCCTGCACGCCAAGACAGTGGTCCTGACCGGAGGGGCAGTCATCACGGCCTTGACAGGCAAACAATACGCCTCACCCCATGGAGACCCCGGAACAGTCATTGAAGCAACGAAGAACTTCAAAGACTTACAGAACTTGCAAACAGGTGAGCACCTACGTCTGCGGTACAATACCTTCATCGACACCATGTAATGCTACACCACAACCATAACATCGCTGTCAGATGGCTTTTTTGATCCCATTGCTGGCGAAAAACCAGGGTGGCCGGATATGCTGGTGGCCATCCCAACCACCCTCCTCTCTGTACTACCTGAAAGACACTGCTCCTTTTACTCTCTAGGGCTGGGGTCTGAGTGGCGTGGGACTTCTCGCCGGCGTGACCCTGAACAGGGTGGCGGCGAAGGAAGTCTCAGCCGCCCCGTGAAAAAGCGCTTCAAGGCAACCATGATGGCGGTAATATCCGTTCCCTCTCTGTGCCTTAGCCTTGTCGGAAATATGGTTCATGAAGCGGGCAGAAAGTATGATTGGCTGATTGTCAACGCGTATATCGGAACGGCTGCTGGGCACGACGCGAGCTGGGGAGGTGCTGTTGCCCGGTGGACCGACGAGTTTGAAAACGCTTTGATGTATCTCGGCTTACCAGTGGGCTCAGTCTGTACCTTGATCAGGTACTATTGCTTCGCGACCGACCTCATGCATGACGCGTTGCTGGGGCGAGAATTGTACTGTGGTCTTTTGGTCCGGGGAACGGCGGTATTCTTTTGATAGCGATTTTTCGATGATGTTTGCTCTGATATAATTGTGTGATCCGTATTGGCCGAGCGATACAATGGAGCAGAGGAATAGTCTTTACTTAGACGCCACCTACTATCGTCACGAAGCTACAATTGGCATTGAAAGGCCTTCGTAACCATATCACTACGTCCCGGAAAACATCTAATACTGAAATCAAATGTCAACTTTCCCTGATTGCCAAGAACATGCAGTGGGACTACCAAGGCCACTATATGCACAAGTAAAGAAAGCATAGTGCGTAGGCCAACGCGCGGAATGTGAGAATCCTTCGAAGGCTACTCATCGACAGCTCTTAGGGCTTTGAGGTGCGTAACGAGATCCTAGGGCCCCTCGAAGAATAACCCTAAGAGCCCTCAGCAAGAAGAGTACTCTCGCAGTCACATATCTCACCTAAGCAGGAGGAAGCGCCTCCTTGCCCTGTTTCCACTCGCGCTCGTACTTCCACTCAGTCACACCAGTAACATGCTTCCCACTCTGGAAGAAGACACGAAGCTGGACCTCCCTGCGGCTAAAGGCGAGGGCCGCGACCTGACTGCCGGGCACGCATTGCTGGCGGAAGCCGCCGCGCTGCCACTTGTCATCGTCACACGCCATCTCCATCACCTGGTTATCCTCGTGGACGAAGTAGACGCGGATGCGGTCGTTGTGAAAGACGGTAGCCGCCAGATCCGTGCGAGGCGGAGCCTTGGAAACGGAGAACTCTCCGTCCTTCCAGTGGCGGCCGTCGTACAGCTTCTCGCGTAAGCTGAGGTCGTCATTCTGGTGGTAGACACTATGATTGATTTAGCATTTGACATGGTGGTATTAATGTGAAGCAGGTTACCGGATCTTCATGGTGGACTCGTGCGAGTCGGAGCTCTTGGGGCTCACGCAGGCCAGGCCGCTGCCGGGTAGGGTGCGGCCAAGGTTGGTCATCTTCGACCAGCCGTGTTTCTCATCTGTTGCGGATAAAACTGTTAGACAAATGCGTGCGCGCGACCGGAGAGGGCCGACTCACCATCCTGACCCAACTCCTGGATAGTGTTATCCTGCATCTGCACATAGACGCGGAGGTGGGTGGTATTCTTGACCCGGTGGCAGCACGCCGCCATCATCGAGTAAGGCGCCACCCTGATCTGGTGGCGGTTGAGAGATCCCTCGTGCCATCTTCCGTGGTTGTCACGGTAGACCTCCCTGACTACGCGGTCTTCTCCAATGAAGAACAGATTCACCTGCTGCTTTGATTAGTGGGTAATGAGATTGCTGGTCAGGGACCTGATCCTCACAGTATTGGAGGTCCGACAAACAGCGGCAATGGGTGACCCCAGTATCGCCTGTGCGACCACATCGTGCTGGGAGCCACCGGACCACTGGCCGTCGTGGAAGCGAGTCTCGCGGATACGGCCGTTGGTGTCCTGGGTGTACACCTGGAAATTATCCTCGGACCCGACAGCGGCAATGGCGCAGCCTGGTTGTTGTTGGCATATGTGAGCATCACAGGTGAGAGGGTGGTGGTTTCGGAGGTGGGGGGGG